CATTGTTCTCCCTCTCTATGCAGGATCTCGTACATCCCTTCCAAGTGGATGACAGTGGTAGCCGGGAACCATCTAGTTCTTCTGGTCTCATAGTTGTATAGGTGAATATCCAATTTTATGCCAGATTGCAGAGAATTAGCCAAGAGAAAAATCAACTCTTACAAAAAGATATTTTCAATGCCTACACTCTTGTGGCACAGTGCCTAAGGCATTTTGACTGCTTACCAGAAGGCTGGCTGTTCAAACCCACCAGAGCCACTCCTAGGAAGGAAGGTTGGGCAATCTACTTTCATGGTGATACCGCCTCGGAAACCCAAAGGGGGTTCACTGTGAGTCACAATTGACTCAAAGGCAGTGAGTTTGGTGCTTTTGGTTTTATGCACATCTGGTTGACTGCTAACCAGAAGGTTGGTGGTTCAAACCCACCAGTCACTCCCAGGAAGGCTGGCTGGTAATCTACTTCTGTAAAGATGTGCTGCCTCCAAAATCCAAAGAGGGTTGCTATGAGTCAGAATCGACTAGGTGGCAGTGAGGTTTTTTTTTTTTGTTGTTGTTGTTTTTATAATCCACATCAAGTAGATGAGAGCTAGTTTTTTGGGGGGGTGGGGGGTGGAAAGTGGTGTTGCTGTCATCCAAAAGGTAGTAGAAATTGGACCAAACAGAATTTTAAATTCCTTTGAGACATCTGTCATTATTTGGAGCAAGAAGGTTACCTACACATCATTAGATCCCAGATTGGCACAAAACACATCTTTTGATTTAGGGTTTGGTATGAGCACATGGCAAGAGAAAGATGTGGCAGTCTTTCCTTAAAGATTACAGCCTTGGAAACTCTGCGAGCCGTTCTACTCTGTCCTACAGGGTTGCTATGAGTCGTAATCAACTCCATGGCAATGAGTGGTTTGGTTTTAGTTTGTGAGCACATGCAATAGCTACTTGGCTATCCAATTCTGTTGTTGTTTTCTGTCGAGTCGGACCGACTCATAGCGACCGCTCCTTGGGTTTCCGAGGCAGTATCACTGTGGAAGTAGATTGCCCCATCTTCCTCCCGAGGAGTGGCTGATGGGTTTGAACTGCCAGCCTTCTGGTTAGCATTCAAGTGTCTTAGCCACTATAGGTACAGGCAACTTCGGGGGCATGCAAATCATTGGGCAGGAAGGGGCAATGAAAACTTGACAGAAAAAAGATTGTTGGAGATGAATGTCAAAAATACACTCCGTGATTTCATTTTGGTTCGGTGGCTGCAACGGATGTGTTAATGGGTATTTCAGAAAATAAACACGCTGAAAACACCGATCTTCACCAGCACATAATGCACTAAGATCGCGCCACCGGGACTAAAGAGGGAAGTTTAGGAAAGCCAGAACGCCGCGATGTTTTTTCGCCTTGGAATAAATGGGGCGTAGGACTGGGGGTGGGCGGGGTGTTGGGAAGCTGTCTTTCCGGCCGCTCCCCCGCGGCGTCTGCGGGCCAGGGCGTTGCGCTCTCTCCGGCTGAGCCGGGAATTTGGAGAGGATCCCTGGTCGAGCGGCGGCGGTGGCGCGCGGGTGCGCGTGTGAGCGAGCGAGCGGGCGGGCGAGTGCGCTGGGTATTGGCAGCCAAGGAGTGGAGGCTGGGCGGCTCCGACTCCCTGACGCCAGCGCGACCAGATCAATCCAGGCTCCAGGAGCGAGCGGGCGGCAGGAGGAAGAAGCTGCCGAGCGGCTTAGCCCGGGCCGAGGAGCCGGGAGGGAACGTGCGAGCGGAGTGCGGCACAGCGCCCAGCCGGACGGACCGGGGCCGCGGGACCCCGCTCCCCTGGCCGCTCGTGCGCCCGCGCAGACCGGCGCGCCGCCAACCCGGTAAAACGAAACAGAACCGAACCCAACTTTTTCTACTGCCGCCTTCCCACTATCCCCTCCGCGCCTGGGGCTTTCCAGCGCCGCCGCCTTAGCCGGGGCGGGCGGCGAGGGCCCGCGGTGGTCGTGCGGGGTTGGAAGCGCCGCTGCTGAGGGGTGGGGGCTCTTCTCCGCGTGGGGCGGACCGGGAAGCGGCCCCTCTCCCCCATGATGGCGCCTCCCCGCCGCTCTCAGGAGCGAACCTGCCACCTCCGCCTCCTCGTTTCGCGCCCAGCCGACCGGGTAGGGCTCGGACGGTGATCCTATCGCGTCTTTGTTGGGTCTGTGGTGGAGAAGCCCGGTTCCTCGGCCTCCGAGCCTCGCCCCCGGCCCTGCTCGCGGCGGAACCTCGCCGGCAGCCCTCCCCCTCCGCCTGGTCCCCGTTTGTCTTTCCTTTTCTGCAGCCGGGCCGAGTCCCGTCTGCGCAGCCCGCGGACCCATTGTGTCCCGCGCCGGCTGGGGCGACCCTTGCGGGAGTTGGACGAGCGCCGGCGCTGCCCTTTACGGGCTCGGGGAGCGGGACTCGGAGGAGTAGGACACCGGTGCCCTGGCCCGCTGCATCCCAGACCAGTGGCCTTCTTATCCCCAATGAGCGCCTCTTTGGGGTCGAGGTCAAGGAAAGTTCGCACCGAAATTCCCTTTAATTTATTCAAAGGTTTGGCGGCGCGTAATTTTTTTTCTCTTCCGCTTACACCCCCTACGTCTTCAAGTGTAGTCTCTCTCATTCCTTTCCCTTTACTGGATTCGATTGCCTCACTGCATGTGTATTTGTGAGTTCACTGTGGAACAACTCTTCATTTACCCTGCTCCTTGTCTTTGTTAATGGTTCTTGGGTTGTTTCTGTTGAAAGGTGGGGGTGGTGGGTGTGAGAGAGACAGACGTGGGCTTGTTTTTCTAGTTGCTTAATATATATGAAGGCTTATGGGGAGAGCGTTTCCTTGATGTACTTAGGAGGGGAGGAGGAACAAATGCCTGCAAATCTTACAACTACGGTAGCTGCGTTTTTTGTTTATTTGTAAGCACATGCAATTTTTAAATCATTGTGCAAGATAAATTGTAAGGTGCTTTTTCTTCTGAAAATCGAGGCCCGACTCAGAACCATCTCCTGAGGAAAGCAGCATTTTCGTAAGTGCTATGTATGACTACAAGCCTTTTTTTTTTTTTTTTTCCCTTCCAAATTCCATTGAAACTCGGAAATTTCAGAGTATGTGAAATGATACACAAGTTGCAAGATTTCTGTGTCTGTCTTCCTGTTGGGGAACTCTTAGCACCTCAGTCACAGAATGCGTTTATTTCAGAACATCTCTGCTCTACTGGTCTCGTAGATAACATGCTTACACGTTAGTAACACAATGAGAAAACTGTTCTTTGCCTGTGTCGATTTTTTCATCTTGTTTATAATTACCACTCTAAATTTTGTTGGAGTTAGGTGAGCTGTATTGGAACCACTACTTAAACAGAGTTGAGGCAAAGCAATGTTCACTGCCCCAGAATTTTCAGTTGGTATACATGTTTTTGCATCAGTGCTGTGTTATTCTGATGTAGATGCAAGGCCTACCTATGTTGTTCTTATTAAAGTGTTTCTCCTCTCTGTCCTTCTCAGTCTCTTCCATTTGCAGTTATTTGATATTTCTGTGCAGGTAGTGTACCACTTGTGTAATGTTGCAGTTCTTAGGAAACTATAACCAGGGTCGTGAGAGATGATTTTCTGGAGATGGGGTGGTGCTGGAGCCTCTAGAGGATCCAGATGGGGATTGGGTTTCTTCTGAGGGCAGGGATTTGTCCTTGATTTAGTTTTGACCCTACTAGCCATAGGTGTGTAACCAAATACGTTTTTCCTTTTCAGTATCTTTTGAATCTTTTGGTTTTATATCCTTGAAAAGCTGATGATGACCTTTGCATTTTAGAGAAATGACCATTTTTAACCAGTTAAAAATGTTAGCCACTTGCACCCCCCCCCCCATTTAAGGGCAGATAAACCATTAAGAGGAAGCAAGGCTCATTTTCCTAAACACGTTTATTCAAAACTAAATTTCAGTTGGTAATTTTGATTTCTAGTAATTCTGTGTTAAAGATAAAATTATAACTTGGTACATTGGAAAAAGAATAAACTTGATTTTAATTAGACAAGCATATTTGAGCTGCAGTAGCCTACATAATCAAGGCCAAGTTGTGTGTATATAAAAGATCTCATTTGTGTAGTCTTACAAGGCTAATGGAGGCATCACTGAGGCTTTATAAATAATGTAAGTTGTGTATAATGTAGAGTCTCAAGAGACGGCAGAGAAAGCATCATTACCAGCCTTTTCAACCTGCTTGAGATCTTAAATTGATTTACAGCACTGAACTGGTGCAAAATGATACATCAGGATGACATGGGGTCAGCCTGTAAAAGTCTATGATGTCAGCCTATTAGTTCAGTCATCATAATTAAACCATATTACAGGGGCAGCTAAGCAGGAGTCTGGCGTTATCCTTCAGATATGGGTGGTACATGAATTTTGTTTATAGTAGAAAAGCCTAAATGGCCAAGAACACTAGTGTGTCTGAGGGAGGGAAAGGCTTATAAAACTCTGAATTTCTGAAAAATTGAAAGTAAATGCAGAGATGTTCAGTCTGCATTGTATAAATAGCTTTCTATTTGGTAGTGGAGAAACAGATGCTTTGAAGGTGGTGATAAGGAAGGATCTCTGCAGCTCTGATCTGTGTACGGAATCGTGCTTCATGTGAGCTTGAATTTAACTTGGCCTCAGGGACTTTCTAAAATACCAGAAGTTCACATACTTCTTATCTGTGATCCTTTTATTATTAGCACCTGGTTCTCACTGTATTGATGTGTCAGCCAATGTGTTATTTAACTAGTCACAGTTACTGGGTCTCCACTGAAAACAAAGATACTTGAATCGAACATAGGAACAATTGGGGGAAAGAAGATTTGTTTTTGCTTAAATTTTCTATAATTTTTAGTTAGTGTATGGATCATGTAGGGCTGTGCTGCTCAATAAGGCAGCCACTAGCTGCATGTACCTGTTTAAATGATTTAATATTAGGTAAAAATAAAAATTTATTTTCTTGGTAGCACTAGCCACATGCTTGAACAGTGTCTGTGTTAGAACATTTCCGTCATCACAGAAGGTTCTTCTGGACAGCGCTGCTCTAGGACCTTTGCCTCCCTTCTCCCGGCCTTTCTGCTCATCTTTCAGATACTTCTCTGCTTATTATTTCTGCTAATGAGTTTATGGGATGAGAGAGAGAAAGATAAGTCAATTAATTTTGTTACTATTTAGTTTCTTTTGTTAAAATAAAAAGTAATTAAGAAGTGGCAGTTGAAGCTACTGGATCATGTGAGGTTGACTTTTTTTATGGATCTTTATTTATCATTGGGAGCTCTGGTGGCATTGTGCATATGGCATTTGACTGCTAATCAGAAGGCTGGCGGTTCAAACCCATCAGCTGCTCCTCGAATGGAAGGTTGGGCAATCTGCTTCTGTAGTGATACCGCCTCGGAAACCCAAGGTCGGGTCACTGTGAGTTGGATCTGACTCAATTGTAGTGAGTTTTTGAGTTATTTATCCTTGGTCTCATGGATCCTAATTTGATTAGAGCTTTGGGTAGGAGAAATAATAGTAGCTATTTTAGTGTTTACTGTGTGCGCATTGTTTTTATATGCTTAATGTCTCATTTAAGCGTCAAAATTTCTCTAAGTACTGTTGTTACCGTATTTTACAGGTGAAGAAATTGAGGCAAGAGTGATTCACTGTCTTAGGCTGTATGACTAGTGAATAACTATGATTTACAGTCTCAGCTGGAATAGGAGTAAGGCAGTCTGATTCTAGAGCCTCACTCTTAACTCCACATTATTTGAGTCTAGAACACCTATATGGTCATTGTTTGGGTATGTCTTACTGTGTCACTGTAGACATAACTCTACTTTTATTTTTTATACTTTTAGACAAATTTGTCCTCTGTTGTGCTTTTCTGGGCTGCCTTCTCCTGGAATAATGTTTACCTAAGCAGAATATAGTTGGAAGAATAGATCTGACATAAAAGTAGCCCATTTCAAAGCCAAATTAGTTATATCATCTTCATTTCTGGATAATTCCTGCCACTTTCTCTGTGTTTTCTTATATCATCACAGGCTGATTGTGCTGATGAGTGTTCAGTTTATCTCATCAAAATGAGCCTTGCATGACCTGTTAAACACTGCACCTTGAGATAAGAATAGCTCATTGTAAATTCTCAGAGGATTTTAAAAAAAAAAAATTAATGTCTATACTTTTGTGTAATATCTTACAGTTCAGTAGTTTTTAATGTATTTTTTGTTTTGGTCAGGGCTGTTTAAGAATCTGATGGAACTGTGGACCTTATAACTTCTCCTCCCTTCTAATCCACGTATCTAAAAATACTTGTGTGCCCTATGAGCTTGTATGTACATATAACACCCAAATTGCATAGTATTTCAGGTGAGAAGATATTCATGGACGACCTTGTCAAATGCTTTCATAAACACTAAGATTTGTGATTTCCTTTACAAAGAATACAGACATTTAGTGCTAAATGCTGCTTCAGAGATTTTCTAATCTTGTTGGTTCATATTAAGATGAGAAATTTGAGGTGCAGAAAGGGTAGTCAACTTGCCCAAAGTTACCCATCTAGTGATTGAAAGAAGGAAAGCTAGAGCCTGAATTATTGTTATTGTGGTTAAGTACTCATTTGTTTGTTTCTTTCCTGGTACCTTCATTCTATTTCTGAGGCTTTGGTCTGAGCAAAGCCAGTGTAATTTTTTTTTTTTTTTTTTTTTTTAGGATTTGGGTGAAGATTTACAGAGTAAATTCACTTTTCATACAGCAGTTCACATATACTTTGTCTC